CAGATCAGATCAGATCAGACCAGACCTGACCAGACCAGACTGCTGCTGCGTATCAGTCCAGCTCATGCACGACTTCTGTCCGCTCTTTCCAGCGATTTCACTATAAATACCCGCGGTTCACTCGCGATATTTGGTAAAGGCATTGCTGAATGTGTGTGTTCGGTTTGTTGTAATGTGTAATAATGTGTTCTTGTGTATGCACTGTAGCGTGTATATGTTATAATACGCCCTCACTGTTGAATGGTTTCTAGCACAGAATGGCAGTGGACTGGTGGGGCTTCGCCTATGCTGCAGCTCTTGCTCTGGGAGGCTTCATGGGCTATAAAAGAAAAGGTATTTCTTCACTGTGGTGTAAAAGGAACGTGTGCAGATGATAGAAAATTATATGTATTGATCAATTTAAAAAAAATCTAATTTCTAATAGGTTTGTAAATCCAAATGTAAGTTTTTTGTCGACTTTTCATGGTTCTAATAGAGATTTAAGCATGCACCTTTCACATTTGTATTGTATAGCTAACAAAAAAGTACTATGCTATTACTATATTTTTGAACATGCTACCATGGCAATATAACTGATGTACTATGTCTGCACTCTATATTCATCCCATAACATCGCTGTGCTTTACTGTAAGGGATTGGTGGAGATATTTAATATAATCCCTGACTTCTGCAGGAAGTGTGGTGTCGTTAATTGCCGGACTCTTCTTTGGAAGTGTGTCTGCATATGGAGCATATAAAATAACAAATGATCCGCACGATTACTGGACCTCTCTGAGTAAGTATACAAATAAAATCACTAATGTCCACCCTTTAGAAATACAGCATATATTAGCTTCAAACTTACTTTTTCATGACTCTAGTCGCCGCCGGTGTTCTGGCTGTTGTGATGGGAATGAGGTTCAGGAAATCTGGGAAATTAATGCCTGCAGGAATCATGGCAGGACTGAGGTAAAACTGTAGCTTGGACAATCACAGTTGTAAAATATATAAATGCTTGTGTTAAAGGGGTCATATGATGCGATTTCAATTTTTCCTTTC